AGGAAACCCACGTGCGTTCCGAAGAGTTTGGCCGAGATCTGTCCACCGTACAGACTCTACTCACGAAACAAGAGACTTTCGACGCTGGTCTCCACGCATTCGAGCACGAGGGTATCCAGAACATCACCTCATTGAAGGAAATGCTCGTTGATTCCGGCCACGATCAGACACCTAGTATACAGAAACGTCATGCCGATGTTATTACTCGTTGGCAGAAACTATTGGCCGATTCTGATGCGAGGAAACAGCGTCTATTAAGAATGCAGGATCAGTTTAGACAGATCGAGGAGCTGTATTTGACGTTCGCGAAGAAGGCGTCTGCTTTTAACTCTTGGTTCGAGAACGCCGAGGAGGATCTGACGGATCCAGTGCGTTGCAATAGTATCGAGGAGATTCGCGCTCTTCGCGAGGCACACGCGCAGTTCCAAGCCAGTTTGTCCTCGGCCGAAGCCGATTTCCAAGCCTTGGCTGCTCTCGATAGGCAGATCAAGAGCTTTAACGTCGGGCCCAATCCGTATACGTGGTTCACGATGGAGGCTTTGGAGGATACTTGGCGTAACTTGCAGAAGATAATTAAAGAACGCGATGTTGAACTCGCGAAGGAAGCGCAGCGGCAGGAGGAGAATGATAAATTACGAAAGGAATTCGCCAAGCACGCCAACGCCTTCCACCAATGGCTTGCGGAAACAAGGTTTGCATCATTTTGAAGAAAATATTTATCCACTTTTCTTTAAATAAAGATATATAAATGCAAATTATCTCTTTTCTTATAGAACATCCATGATGGAAGGATCTGGATCTCTAGAACAGCAACTGGAAGCAACCAAGGTTTGTGTAATTGAAACAGATATTTATTATAAAGATCGAATTTAAAAAACTTTGTTATGCATTATGTTATATATAAATTACATTTACAAATTCACAGCGAAAAACTCAAGAAGTGCGCGCACGTCGTCAAGACCTAAAAAAGATCGAAGATCTGGGAGCTATTTTAGAGGAGCATCTAATTCTGGACAATCGTTATACGGAGCACAGTACCGTGGGATTGGCACAGCAATGGGACCAGTTGGATCAACTGGGAATGCGCATGCAACACAATTTAGAGCAGCAGATTCAAGCCAGAAATCAATCTGGTGTTTCTGAAGACGCCCTTAAAGAATTCTCCATGATGTTCAAGCACTTTGACAAGGACAAGAGCGGCCGTCTAAATCATCAAGAATTCAAATCGTGTCTGAGAGCTTTGGGTTATGATCTGCCCATGATGGAAGAAGGACAACCTGATCCAGAATTCGAGAATATATTAGGTTTTGTTCATTTTAATTCTTTTACTTCTGTGATGTTATATTATTTTAGACGTATCAATTTTTAATACAATGTTACTATTCACAGACATCGTAGATCCTAATAGAGATGGCTACGTATCATTGCAAGAATATATGGCATTTATGATTAGCAAGGAAACAGAGAATGTGCAAAGTTCGGAGGAAATAGAGAACGCGTTCCGAGCAATCACTGCAGCAGACCGGCCGTATGTCACAAAAGAGGAATTATATGCTGTAAGTGCAAACATACTACAGAATATTCAGAAATCTGGATTATGCTCATTCCTATAATATTTTAACGAATACAATTTGTTATTTTTTTTCTTTTTTTTTTTTCAGAACCTCACAAAGGAGATGGCCGATTACTGTGTCGCTCGTATGAAACCTTATGTAGATCCTAAATCGGAACGACCGATAACGGCAGCGTTGGACTATATAGAATTTACACGCACTCTTTTCCAGAATTAATTATGCATTTATATATATATATATATATATGCGTGTTATATTAATATTTTTCCAAGCTTATTAAATTATAACCGCATCATGCAGCATCAAGCTGCATATTTCTTTTTTTTAAGACCATGCATGACTAATGTTTATATATTTATTATATAGAACATCTGCATATAGATTGAGATTTAACTTTATTTAGACCGACTGGCTGATATAACGAATATGTCTATATTCTTTCGATAAAGAGAAAAGCAAAATTTCTTCTAATATACGCACTTTAGATATGCATTTGACACCTGCATTTTTAAAAATATATTTAGTCGGATGTATGTTAAAGATCATACATGTATATATGATCTTTAATACTAAATTTGCCATATCAGTTAGTTTTGGTCTAATACTTTCCATATTATTCTTCGAAATAAATGTATTTAACATGTTACATTGCCTTTGTTTTTATTTAATAAGAATCTCTAAAATATGCAAGTTCTAAAATTTTCATGTAAATCTTTTTACATTGATATGTATAATTAAAGTTTTTTTTTTATTTTTTTATTTTGGTAGTAAATTTTATAGAAATAATATAAAATGAATGTTGCAGAGAAATTTTTTTTTTTATATCTTATTGAGCAACTGGATTTACAACCATTTGAGATTTCTCATGAATTATTTGTTCAGCACGATATACTTTCCAGCATATTAAATAATCCCTTGCTACTTTGAACAGAGTATAATAATTTATAACTAGTAACAGTGTCATTGAAAGTATTTGATACCATTCGGTTATCCGTAATAAAATAAGCAGTTGAACGCCCACCAATAACAACTGCAGTCCCAATAGTGAACATAGCAACATTGTTGGATTATAGAATAAGCCCTATGCGAGAGAGATGAATAACAATTAGTATATTGAGTATAATCATTTTCATTATTCACGGCAATAATATAAGATCGTACATGGAATCTATAGTGATTTAGATTACCCGGTTCCGCTGCTGTACACAAACCTTCGGAACGATAAATCTCTCGATTATGCCTTACGATCGATCCGTGCGGCCACAATACCGTATCATTCCACGGTTGGGCGTAAATGTGATTATTTCGATTTTCTATTTTAACCCATCGGCCTAAATGCAGTGCTGCCCTATGTAGTACATCACAATATCTAAAAATAAATAAACGACGTACGTGTATTCTCGAATTGTGGGTTTGGCTAGGAAAATAATTCTTACAGGTGAAAGAGTATATTCACCTGACAGGATAAAACTGAGCAAAGCATGCGCTTATCCGTCCAAACCAAAACAAAATTACGTGCTGCACCACCCATGGTATATTGAAATGTAAATACGGTGGTACGAAGATGATGGGCGCGATTCCGCAAACGTACGCACTACCGGAGGATGAGAACAAAGCTCGCTTTAACCGTTGGTTAAAATCGGATCTCAAGGTGAATACTTCCGCCCGGATGGCTGACGCATTTAGCGAGCAATTGTGTAAAGGTTTATCTGCGCACGAGAAAAATGGTATCACATTAAACTTCAGAAGTGAATAACAGATGGAAGTGTGACGTGACACTTGCCTAATAGATATTTTGTTTTCCGGTCCTCCTTTCCATATGAGAATGTTGAAGAAATATCGAAAAATGGTGCTGCGCTTATTCCAAACATGACAAAATATACCGACAATCTTCTAGAACAAATTCATGTCATAAGCAAAATATTCCTATCTCTTACTTTAATTACAATCATATATAATTGTTAACATATAATAAGAATAATATGAGATATTATTTAATATACTAATATATGATAAAAAGAGAAACACACGGATAACACAAATAAAAGATCTTCATAGAGTTATGCTTCTGAGCCATGTGATAGAGGCACCAGCACAATATACTCATCACAGTAATTAATAGAGAAATTCTGAAATAAAGTTACATAAATATTAAAATATTTTAATATCGTCTCACATACTTTATTAAATATAAATTATCCAGTGATGAATCAATACAATACCTCATAATCTTTTGGATTGCGGGTAACCATCGAACTGGCAACGACATATCAATGAATTGACGTAATAATGTATAAACAAATCTACGTGCCATCATCGTAAAAATAAATATAAGTAGGTAAGGATCTATCAAATAAAAATTCTGAAACATCAGCATAATTTGGGATATCTTTAATTATCTCAATATATAATCTGCGATTATATCTTTTAAGATATATAAAAATGCTAGTGCATATATATAAATTTCTGTATGTATATAAAAATAACGTACCATACTATAATTATTGTACGAATATGGTAACCACCATACAGTTCTATATAGATTAAGCAGTTGCAGACAAGCTGCGACAATTGAGATGGCCAAAGATAAAGCTTCAAAAGTCAATTGTCCGTCAACCGGCACTATGGGTATAGGAACGTGCTTCGGTGCCAGAGATTTTCCGCCATAAATCTCGTCGATCTTCTTATCGTCCACGCTACTTCCGATCGCTCTTTCTCCGCTGTTACTCCTTCCATTAACATTCGCAGACCCAGCATAACTACTGCCGGATCTGCCGTTCGGGCCAGCTCGACCGGCAGCGTTTCGTCTGCCACCAGGCATTTTTCATATGCATTTATTTATTCCTTATGACATTCGAAAGACACAAGCTCCTTTATCCCAATGATTTTTGCACATGACAAATACGTGTGTCGCAAAAGCAATCTTTGGTTTCAAGAGACGTATTCTATCAAGGACAATTTTTTCTCTCTAGTCGTAATTTTTCTGACATGTTCATTATGTCACTGTAAACAAAACACATGATAATGAGAATATGATGATGAAAGATAATACGCGTCTCGAGAGTTCTCGCATTTATACCGGGATATTCAACCCGCGCCACTTAGATCTTGACGAAAGTACACTTCTTCGATGCTTTCTCGCGTAAAGACAAGAGTTTAAAAAATTGAAATCGCCGTTCGCGGAATGTTGACAAAAAGAGTTACAAAATGTTTTTTTTTTCAAGGTTAAGAAATTCATAGGCGAATACAGCGAGATGAGCATGCGCCGTCTAATAATATACTGTCAAAGGCTGCGGTCGAGAAGATGCTAGAGATGCTTCGAAGCATTGCATTAACCAATCAGAATAAAGAAATCTTTACTCTTTTTGTTCTGATTGGTCAATCAAACGCTTCGAAGCATTTGTAGCGTTTTCCCGACCGTAGCCAGAAGAAAAGCTAAGAGGCTCCCTGCTCCCAAATCCCAGGCTTCTTTCTCTGCTGATATCATTTTGCCATCTTCGATAAATACACGTGATATATGTGTCAAGTAATCTTGCAATTTTAATATTATTAAGAATATTGTTATTAATAATCCTTTGCATATGATATTTTTATATATTTTTACAAATTCTTATATATTTTTTTTCACGCAATTGATTGAACAAAAGGCAAGTAATTAAATTACTAAAGGATTAAATATCTTGATCAACAAGTTAAACGTTAAACAATCTAAACATTGTTTTGAAATTGTACAGGCATAATTCGCTCGTATGAATAATGAGCATGGCTCATCGAGTTCTCCGAAGATATCCTAGAACGACGGTAAATCGTTTCCAGGAAGTAGTGCAAAAGTTTGACTATCTATTAGTAATGGACTTTGAAGCTACATGCGACAGACACACAGTGCTCAACCCACAGGAAATCATAGAATTACCGTGTGTGTCACTGTCTACCAGCAATTGGAAGATAAAGGATACATTTCACGCCTATATTAAACCTAGAATCCATCCTAAGCTTACGCCATTCTGCACAGAATTGACAGGAATTATGCAGGAGACTGTGGACAATCAACCTTGCTTCTCGGATGTATTCTCGAGATTCCGCGAGTGGTTAATCGAGGGAGAATATTTTGACAATAGTGATAAAAGTTCATTTGTAACATGTGGCAATTGGGACCTAAAGGTGATGCTACCAAATCAGTGTAATTTGGACAATATTACATTGCCAGATGAATTCAAACGATGGATAGAATTGAAGCATACGTTTTGCGACTCTACTGGATATTATCCAAGGAATTTAAAGGACATGCTTACGCGATTAGATCTTCCATTCCAAGGGCGTTTACATTCGGGGATTGATGACGTGAAAAATATAGTTTCCATAATACAAGCTTTAAAAGACAAATATAACACACAATTTAAAATTACTTCATCGTTAACTAATTCTGCACTAGGTTTAAGTAATCATAAACGGAGTGGAGTAACAATATAAAAAAAAAAGAAAACACATAGTTTGTTAAAAATCGGTTCTAAATTAATAAAATATCGTTTTTGTATATAAAATTCATTAATTACATTAATTATAAATAAATATTCTAATTATAAAATTATATATCTAAATTACGGTCGTCTTATGGCTTTAATCAACACGTCTTGTTTATTATTCTCCGTATAAATCTCAAGTATAGCTTGCATATTATGTTCTATCCTTTGCGAACATTGTATCTTCAAGGAAAAGCTTTTTCTGCTCGGTAACATTCCTTCTGTGGGAACAACACTGAAATTCGAATTTGACAGACTGGTTTGGAATGGCTCAGCCGCTTTAAATAAGCTAAGAATAGTCACAGTTGCCTCGTTCTCTACTGGAGGATAAAGAATGACGGTGGACGGAGTTACAGTGAATTGTTCTCCTGACAATCTGGGACGCCGAGTTTCATAGTCTGCCATAGTTCTATGTAATAAAATATAATTTTAATAAGAAATTCGTGTAAGCTAATATCTTATCAGACGTAACTTGTACATCTATTTGTGTGATTTTGTACAATAATAATATACTAGAAAAATATACATATACAAATAAATAAAAAATCTCTTACTGAGAAGCATAAAAACTTGCTCCATCTCCACTGTCTATATGGGTAGTATCACTTAAAGTATAGAACATCTGTGATTCATCAGCATCACAATGAACAGGCAAAGTATCGTCGGCACATGCTTCCACAGTAAGCATTATTTCATATTGATGAACTCCAGCGCAAAGATCATTCAGGTTTTGCTATTTAAATATTTGTTATGATTAATATATGAATAATAATGAAAAATATAAAAGTTGTATACTTACAATGGAATCTCGAATCGATAATAAACCAGGAGCTAGTTGCTCCCCAGGGAAAGCTTTACATATAGAATGCACAATATTTTTTAACGCCTCATTTTCACTTTCAGCCGAATTATCTGATTCTTTTATTTTATTATACAATCTAGAAAAACAGAAAATATGATTTTGTTTGCAATAAACATTAATGCTAACAAATGCCAATTCTTGAGATATATTCGCTCATCTTTTACCTGCGTATTCGCCAGCGGGTCGGTTCATCTCCATATGTGACATTTACTGTTGCAACATGCGACACCTCCGAACATTGTAATCTCGCGAAATCTTCTTTTTTGGGATAGAATTCTATCGTCACTCGTCGAGTCTCTTTAGGATTGAGAATCAATTCTTGGGGCTTTACATGCCAATTAGAATACATTGTTACAGAAATATCTGAAATATATAAATATATATACACATATATTTATATAATTTATTTAAAATATATGTGTAATGGTTATTAAAATAGAAAAAAAAAATTAATTTAATCAAACCTTTTGGTATAACTTTGATTTTAGCAAATGAATGTAAGTCTCCAATATTTTGTAGTATAATATCTTTAGACAAGACTGTTGTTTCAGAATACAAAGTACCAAGTGATAATAATCCCATCTTCCCATTTGCATCTTTAAATATATTCGAAATTTTCATCTTGCTGTACCCACCATATCCATACAAAGGTATCTGTTACAATAAAAAATGTTTAATAATATTCTTTTTTAAGTTTGTTAAAATGTCCTATAAACATACATTATACACACTTTTTTGTGTTGCTGAGAATCGCTGCTATTTCTCGTATAATGTTTGATAGTGATTTTTCCGGTTACTGGACCTGTATGATATGGACTAAAACTAACAGCAAGTGTTTTAAGCTCTTGACGGTGCATTGCCATTACCATGCTTGTACTGACAGTTTGTCTATCTCCAAGAAACTATAACATAGATATTTGCGTTGATAGGAATTTCAATCATAACTTTTTTTTTAGATTTAACAATATACCTTAAAACTCTTATTGTCATCCCATATGTCTACTTGAATTTTAATCTTATTATTACTCGTGTTACGGATTGTAAATTATATATATATATATAGAAATATAAACTAACCTGCTAGAGGTTACACTCTGTGGTGATGTTGCTGGACTTAGAGATACAGCATTACTGGGTGTATGACAACGTAAATAATTTTCCTTTTCTGGTTCCAATATTTGTTCGGTATTTACGATATAAAAATAAACATTGTTACCAGCGACTAATTTAATTCTTGCGCATCTGCACAGAAAAATATATAATAACAGAATAAGTTAAAAACATAAATGTATAATTTTGATAAACTGAAATAGTCACCTTTCATTATCTAGAGAGCTTGTATCTGAAATTTGTGGTTTATATACAATTGAGAACGAGCTTCTTTCCCCAACTTGTAAGAATATATTATCCGGTTCTACAGTAAAATTCTGTGCTGCGTTTGGATATCCTTCAACAGGTACGATAGTAGCGGATACGTGTGTTGTCACATTTCCCGAATTAATGATATTTAGCAACTTGCCTTGCTGTCTTGGAACAATTATAGGTACCTCTGTATCAACGATTTGAATTTTACAGATACCCATCTGTGCATAAAGGGGCACTTCTTTCTGGAGTAGAACAGTGCCATCGTTGCATTGTACATGTATAATTAGTTTGCTCTTCCAATACTGCAGTTTTTGCGGAAAATCTATTTGACAAAAATTTTACATATCTTCAACAGTAAATCACACATGTATAAAGAATACATACACTCCTCTGTGTGAAGAAGATATTTACCTATCTCTGTAGATTGTTCACACTTTATATTAGCAGTAAACTTCTCGTGAGATTTTAATATTAGATGATTAAGTACATCGTGAGATTCATTTAGCTCTACTGATTTATCGAAAGTACCATCAATGCTAAACATTTTCGGCCCATCCTATAATAATTAAAAACATAGTAATCAATTTTCGGCATATTATTCCACTCTATATATGTGTGTGTGTGTGTGTAGTGTGGTCTGTACTTTGATATTCTTGATATAATATAATCTTACATGTAATATAGAAAGCTTAATAGGCACATCAATACTGTTTTTGTTGTGAAATATTATGGGTAGAATTTTTGCTGAATTCTTTGTAATATATTGAAAATCGAGTTCCTCTTTATGAGAGTCGCATATAATCTCAAGTTCAAGTTGTTCTGGGTTAACACAGATCATGTGCTTCATATACCATTTCGATTTTGTTACCATATCTATTAAGATTATATTTAAGGCTACAAATATTTGTTTGCACATTTGTATCACTTTCACTTTGATCTGTAAGTAGTAATCGAATAATTATTGATAAATAGAAGAGAATTTTTATCTATTTATATATTTTATTAGTTATTGAAATGTACCTTTGTGGATTGTGCTCCATTAGGCTTTATTAAAATTTCATCTTGAGGTATATTTAATTCAATATTCTGCATATCTCCTAGCACTTCGTTTAATTTTAAGGAATATGTGATCCATCTGTCCCCATGATTTAGAAGTTCAATATTAACTTCACTCGTCATGCCAATGATGCAATTGCACAATTGTTCTGTATTCTTCCCGATAACAACATTACCTGAAAAAAAATTTACGAAATTGTCATAGATCATATTTTTATTACAGAAGAAAGTTACTTTTAATAATTAAATAAATTATACTGTTTAAATTTGGTTGCATTTCTGTATTTATATTTATAAAAAATGTTCGATCCATCATGTAATTAGAAATTTCTTCTATCACTTCTTTTCTTTGTATATTCAAATCATTGTAACTTTCATCATAACTTTCTAAATCCACTTCAGGTACATGGGATAATAAAGTAAATTTGTCATTGGATGACAATTTAAAATTTTGTAACAATGTAGCATGTGATGCTTGTACTCCTATTTATATATATAAATGTTAAAATATATCATGTCAAGTTTCTTTTTTACATATTCAGTAAAATATTTAAAATAAAATATTAGAATATATATTAAATCATTATATATATATATATATNNTCTTTCCTGTTTTTACACTATTCCATATTAGAGCAGCATGTGTCGACTTGATTGGAATTGTATTTCCCGCTACAGTTACACCAGATACTGTACTGATTGGTGAATTTCTATCGCAAAGTCCGGATCTACATACAAATTAAAAAAAAAAAGTTTCTGTTAGAAATCATTGCTTATTGAGGAATCATGATTTTATCATATATATTGTAAGATTTCAAAGTGGAATCTAGATATCTAGACGAGCAGGAAAAATACTGTGATATGGGAATGTGAGTGGCTTATTTTACAATATAAATATATATTAAATCATTATATATATATATATTGAAATATTATATTTGTAATAAAATCAATAATAATATTTAAAATGTAGATTTTTATAAAGTAAATGTGTGTGTGTCAAAGAAAGAAATCCCAATTTACAAACCTGCATCTTGATTAGATAAAGAAGTTGCACTTTTATTACTTGCTTCCTCTTTTAATATTTTTTCTTTACATATATTCGTGAAAGATTCAGTTGCATTTGTATTTTCATTTGAAGCAAATGACGATACTCTTGAACGCTCTTGCTTCACATTAATGGTTTCATCTTTAATGGTTTCACTTTTAATTACGTTTTTAGTTTTACTGTCTAGTGATAACTTGACTGAAAGATTCTCTAGAATATCTTCATCAAATTTGTTGAAATTCCCAGTAGGCGTTGCTAACATAGACTTTCTGTCGGAAGGCAATATGCAAGTTTCTTGTACTGCATTGTTTTGCATTACTAGACTATTCTTCTTCTTTTTCTGTGCCATTAAAATCTGGTCAACTAATCGCCGTGGCGTACCGCTATCAACGTTTTGTAAAGTATTAAGAATAGTGCTTAAACTTATGATATTATTTTTATCCATGTCCCTTGTTGCATTTGCAACGAATGTATGTTCCTCCTTCGATTCTGTAGATAATGTTGCTGTTGCTAAAATATTTTTTTTTTTTTGTATACAATGTGTTGGTGTTTTGAAAAAAATTTAATATATAAAATAATATAATTATATATCATCTGTCAAGATAGTCGATCCAATTAATGGTTCCAAATTACCTCTTTTCATGGAATTTTCCAAAGTAAGATCAAAACTTGGTCTTACTTGTTTATTATTCCCTAATATTCCTATATCAGCAGATTTACGTTCAAAATATTGGCCAATAGATAGTTTCTGTCCAGCACAAGATCTGTGATTTATACATTATCTTATTGCATATATTTTAGCAAAATTAAATACAATAATTTCGTAACAAACATACTCTACTGTTAAATCCAGCTGTCCAATGATACCAGAAAAGGAAGTGAGATCTAATTCCTGCTTTTCTGTACTCATGACTGGCATACAATATGTACGATCTTGTTGCCAATGAGCTTCATCAACTGATAATTGTTCAGCCATTTTTGATCCAGATAAAAAGTTTTCATCATTATTGAGTTGTTTCATAATTTCGTTATTTACTTGTGCCATTATTTCGTCTGTACTGAAGCTAATACCATTGAAAGATTTACTTAAAAGACACTGTTTCTTTGCACTATTGTCGACATCAGATGACCGCGCCGTTATTTCATTAGGATCAAAAGTAACCTGAAATTTATCTCTTGTAAAATGTTTTGACTTTAAAATAAAATTCTTAAATTACAAATACTTACATTAGTTTCACTGACTTCATTTGTCAAGCGATTAATGTTGCACTCCTGGTCTGATTCAAGCATACAAGGCTCATTTGGCAAAGTAAAATTTGAAACAGATAAATTGCCCGTTACATTTTGTACATTGGCATTATTTTCTTTATTTGTATCTAAAATAATTGTGCACAATTATAAACACATAATAAAATTCATATGAATAAATTTTCATATATCTGTCTTTTTTCTATTTACCTATGATTAGAGAAGAGTTTTTTGTGTCGCTGCATTTCTGCAGAAGTCTCCTGGCATATTCAAGCTCTGCATCCGTATTTGGGGAATTCTTCTGCTCATTCTCTGCTACAGTCATATTTGTTAGAACTGTCAACAATATCACACATTGCAACTTTAGCAATATTATTAATATAATTTTAAAGATAATGACAGGTGGCTCAGTTTTAAGAGGGACTATTTAATAATTGGCAGGTCCTGGATTTAATCTCAATCTTATATCATAAAAAAGCTTAGAACATGATTATAACAAAAAGAGAAGTTTTTTAAGAAAATAAAACCAAGATTATAAGAATATAAGAATATAAAAGATTAAAACAGGATATATTGAAAAAGACATCTAGATATAAATGTGTCAAGTAACAAAATACCTCTGATGATGATAATTAACATTTAAAAATCACATATAGGTCAAAATTTAATGTTTTTAGAATAAAGTCATATACACATACTTGACATGTCACGCAAAAGACCTAACGAGGAGTCTTGTTCTTTCCGCGCCAGCTCCTTTTCATATGGTACATTTTGTTCATCTTTGCAAGGTTCGTCGCTAAATTTGCTTTCCGATCTGAAATGAGATATCTTTAGGATTAATTATCGTATAAAAAAAAAATTACTTAAGATTAACTGAAATTCAAGTGATTTATCATCTCTAAGTGTAAAACATAATACTAGAAAGAGAGAGACGATGACTCTCAATCGAACGTCAGTTTTAATCGAACACTTTGTAAAATTCGTAAAGAAGGAGACGCCTGAGAAAACTTACGGGCTTTTTCTCCGAACTGTCGATGATGCTTGCGGTTGAGGTGTATTTAATATCGTGTCACTAAATACGCCATAACCTTTGATCGGCGTGAACATCGTTAAATCCTTTGTTTCTCGCGCTTTGGAACACAGTAAAGGTCCGATGAATAAAATAATTTGGGAGACGAACGATTGAACAATTTTTCAACACATCTGGATCTTTGGCGAAACCCTCGGCCGAACTCTCTCCCAAAGGTTAAACAGCGACAGTTGAATCGATTTTGTGGTTCAAATTTGAAAAATTTCGGATGTCATCGACGATTGGATACGCGCTTGAAGGACGCGACGTTGTTTACGACGCTCGTAAAGAGAAGCGTTATGAGGAACAAACGAAGACGGCGGAAACAAATAGAAGACGGATGTATATGGCACAGGTCCCGAAAAACATTGGAGACACGTTCGTTATTTTTTTTGTGATAAATTTCTTGTGAGACGAAAATAATCAATCCATCCCGAAAATAAACATACCTCACGTGCACATTGCGCGGTTCGTTAAACGCTAATCGTTTCTAGTGTACGGTAAGGTTGCAAATCAAGCACCGGAAAATGTATATTGGACATCGTAAGTATTGCACAGATGTTGCAGAAACTATTTTACGATAAATCAATTTATATCGTCATACAATCGTAATCATAGAAAGAGAAAAAAAAGAGAAAGAAAAAGGATTAATATTCTGAATATTTATAAATTTCTAAATAATATTTATAAATATTTTCGCATCTTTAATGTAAAAAGTGAATGGATAAAAATCAATTAAATAATTTACCCTTTTAATCCATTAATAATCCCGTTAATTTCAATGTTTTAATCTGCGGAGTTTGAATTTTTGCTCTTTAAAATTAAAAAATTGTTTACAGTGTTTCATCAAATATTTTGTTATGAAAGCGATTTATTCTTATTTAACTTTTTATTAACTCTTTTTTAACTCTGTCCCATTCAAATCTTATAATACTTATAAACGTTATCACACAACTTCTTTTGTGATAATTATTAAACTGTCAAACTTGTCAAAATATGTTATCTTGTTAATATATGTAGAACTGATATATCGTGTGATCTATATGAATTTTTATCTACATATGATAAATAAATCTTTTTATCTACACATGATAAATAAAGACAAATATACTAGATAGTTGAGTATATGGAATGTTTAAATGTCCCTATACGAGGAAATTAAAGAACTCAATATGGTTGTTTATCTCTCTCTTTCC